AGGAAACACATGGCAGATACAGTACAATGTGGTTAAATGTGAAGCTATACACTTTGGTGTGAAAAACGAAAGCCAGACTATTATTCAAATGGTGCTATACGGGGAACTGTGAAGGTACAAAAGAATCTGAGTGTCTTTGTACTCCAATCAATGAACCTAGACAGGTAGGTGCAGCACCTTCACCTAGCCTGTCTCTGACTTTTCCCTTCCCTTCCTTGACTTCTATATTCTATTTCTGGGGATTGGCTGTCCACCAGTATCCATTACAAACCCACCACCTTACACAGTTACCTGTTCTATGCTTCCTCATCCCCAGCTTTCTGTACGTACTTCATTCCATTTTCCCTGATTCTCTGCCTCCGTTACATCTGTGCCTCTGACACATTCCCCTTTTCTCTCAACCAAAAATTCTCCTCAATTTTGGTTGGCAGGACCATCAGCTACATCTGACCCATTTCCTGCATTTCTGCCTTCACTTCATGTCCTCTCTCTTGCAGAAGAACGATAGGATTCCCTTTGTCCTCTCTTTCCACCGTATTAGCTCCCACATTCAGAGGATCATCCTCCATCACTTCCATTGCCTCCAGTAAGATGATAGCACTAAACATATTTCGCCTTCTCCTTCCTTGTCATCATTCCACAGGAACTATTCTCTCCATGATACCCTGGACTACTCCACTGATGCTCCTAACACCTCTTTATACCTGCATGGCAACTTCCCATGCAATGTTCCCCCACCCACCTTGCCTGTTTTTGTCCTCCTTCCTCACTGTCCAACATCCAAAACACATCTTCCAGGAAAACAGCAATTTAATTACACTTCTTTCAATCTAGTCTCCTGTATTCACTGCTCATAATACAGTCTCCTTTCCATTGGTAAGGCCAAACTCAGACTGGGTGACTCCTTTGTGGAACACTTCTGCTCTGTCATAAAGAAGATCCTGACCTTCTATTTCAAAACACCATCTTGCTCCTGTCCTAACATTTCTGTCCTGGGCCTGACATAGAGTTCCAGTGCAACCTAATGCAAGTTGGAGGAACAGCAGTTCATCTTCCATTTAGCTACTTTACAACCTTCAGGACTCAAAATTAAGTTCAACAACTATAGATGATAAATACTGTCATCCATTTTGATTACACCCCTTCCCCAGTGTCTTGCCCTCAGCAGAACTGATCTATTTTCCACTATTTGCATCTACAATTAACATCTATTCTATATCTATATTGTTCCTCTACTACCATTAGCATTCCCTTTGTGTTTTGCTCTGGGCACTCTCACCATCTATTCCACTTGCTACTACGTTCCTTCTGTCAACAGCAGAAAAATCATGTTCTAGGTCCTTTCAGTTCTGAACAAGGGTCACACCAGACTTGAACCATTAACTCTGTTTATATACTCATTTCTCTATCAAATATATATTTGTAAACTAATCTTGTTGGAGGCTAGAGGGTAGCTTCCCTCTAATATGAAAGCATTTTCCTCTATGTGGCTTGAAGAGGCAGAGGTATTCTCTGGGGTGCACAAGGTAAGTCTGAGACTTTGCTGTTTAGGGAATCATCCGTTGTTTTTCTTCAGTGGGAGACACTTGCATCATCTCACTCCACTCTCTCCTTACAACTTCTCTTTGCTGCTACAGCCTTCTCTCAGTGTCTGCAGTCAGTTCCCAGACCAGTTAATCATCACCACCTCCATAGACCATCTGCCTCTGTCTGAAAACAGCAGAATGAGGCCCGCAATTCAAAGCTGTTAACTCCTTGATGAAGATTTCCAGGAAGGATTTTCATCTGATCCTGCCCAATTTGAGGAGCTGAACAGGTAAACTGTATCCAATGATTGTTAATCCAAATTAAATTGTGTCTGACATGGTCACACTGGGGCAATTACAGAGCAAAACTGGGTGGCTAATGTGGAAAAAGGAATAGGAGTAACAACACAACAGCAACATAAGGATTAGAGATAGTAGGAACTGCAGATGCTGGAGAATCCGAGACAACAAGGTGCAGGGCTGGATGAACACAGCAGGCCAAGCAGCATCATAGGAGCAGAGAGGCTGACGTTTCGGGCCTAGACCCAACATAAGGATTGCATGGTGCACAGCAAAAGAATTTTATGGAAAGAGGATAAAGATTGCAAAGTGGTAGAGTGACAAGTTAGACAATAAAAACAGGATCAGAGTAGAAGACAAATGAGAAGCCAAGGAGCAATAGGGGGAACATATGAACGTATGAATCTTTAGACAGTAAAAGACGAAGTTGTTTTAGTTGCTTTCTGTGACACGATAATGATGGAACTGTTTACCAATCTTAGCAATCAATCTTTGTCAATTAATCAACTCTACATCAAGAAATGATGTGAGGTAAACCCCATGATGATACAATTGAACACCCATATCTAAAATCTTTATTTGTGATAAACCAATAACTCTGTAAAGCCGGCTTTGCATTTAGGCTCATTTAGAGCAAATTCTTGGATGTTCAGGATCTGTGAGTGGGCTGCCTATGTTCAAATTATTAAACCAGGCTCTCTCATCCTGGCAATGAGAAAATTAGGCCGAGTTTCTCATAAGTTACTGGGGTAAAGAAGCCAGATTTTGTCATCCAATTGCAGGGAACTGCCTCATAGATGCCAGTCTCCTGAAATCTAAACAAAACAGACAGCAGTATAAAAGCAGCTAAAGAGAAACTGCAGCATATAAGAACTAGCTTGAGACTAATTTATGATACTTATCTAGGTAGCATAAAGGAACTAGTATAAAGACACTGGAACTGAGCCCTTTCTGGGTATTCAAAGGAACAATGCGCATCGCACATCCAGTCCTGCCATAGATTCAATGAATCCCCAACAGACTAAGCAAACATCTTAACAAGCATAACATTGGAATTTGTTGTTTTTCCTGTGGCTTCAGATTTCAGAATGTTCTTAGCTACTCAAAGGACCCGTTCCATGGAAGAACAAAGCAGTATTTACATCAGCTCTTTTCAAAGTGGCATATTATGTTGGCAAAGCTAAAAGACCCCTCAAGGTACTAACCAAGGGATACATCTGCTATGTTAAACATGAAAAAAGAATGCCTGCCTCAGACATGTTTCGCATTCAAAACACAACCTTGCACAGGAACAGCTAAGCTAATAACACTATGGTACAGTAACAGACAAAAAGTGATAATTTGAATCTACAGAAGTCATTTAGGCTTAAACAGAAAGAATAGCCATAATTTTAATTCCATTTTAAACCTTACTCTGAAGAGCGTAAAAAGACCCTCTAAAAATCATCCTCTATGTGCATTAGGATAACAATCAAGCTCCATACTGAATGAAAATATGAAAGCAGTCAGGCAGGTAGACAGCAAGCAAATGGACTCAAATGTTATATAGGCCTTCATTGCAAGAGGGTTTCAGTTCAAAAGGGTGTTTTGTTGTATTTATGCAGGGACCTGAGGAGACCACATCTGGAGTATTGTATGAAGTGATGGTCTCCCTACCTAAGAAAGGACATATTTGCAATAGAGTGAGTGCAGCAGAGGCTTACCAGACTGTTACTGGGAATGGCAGGACTGTCCTACAAGGAGAGATTGGGTTGACTGAGCCTGTATTCACTAGAATTGAGAAAGATAAGAGGGTTTCTGATTGAAATGTATAAAATTCTAACGTGGCTGGACAGACTAGATGCTGGGAGAATGTTTTCCCTGGCTGGACAGTCTAGAACCAGGGGACAATGTCTCAGGAGACAGGGTAGATCAATTAGGACTGAGTTAAGGAAATATTTTTTCAATGCCATGAAGGAGGGAGTTCTAATATTTTGACACAGCCATGCTTCAGGAACAGTGATCTATTTTAAAGCTGGATCGTGAATGTCTTGGAGGGGATCTTGAAAGTGGTGGTGTTTGAATGTATCTGCTGCCCTTGTCCTTCTGGATGGAAATGGTTGTGGGTTTGCATATTGGATTAAACCCTCTCTGATAGCATAAGCAATTCATTCCTCAGTAAATTTGATAATGTTTCTGTTGAACTGCAATCTCTCTGGTCTGTACAGGTTCCATCTCCCCAGAACTGGTCCCAGTGTCTCAGGAATCCAATATTCTTTCTGCTGCATCAGATTTCTAGCCATGCATTCAGCCATTTCATCTTCTACACTGGTGAGTGGTAACAGAAAGAATCCAGCGCTTATTACTTTTGAATTCTGGCTAGTGACTTCAGGACCATGTCCTTCTTTCTACCTGTACCTTTGGTGCCAACACAGATAAAGGATTCTGGCAACTCACCCCACCCTCATCTCTCAGGGTGTTCTGCAGGAGTTCAGTGCCATCCTTGATCTTGACAGCAGGGAGGCAATTGACATCCTGGATGCATGCTGGTAGCTGAAAAGACTTCTTTCTGTTCCTCTGACTATCAAATTTCCTTTCACTATTGCCTTATGGTCTGTATAATGCCCCTCTGTACAGCTGAGTCAGCCAGGGGAGAGTTTGCAAATATGAATAAACTTACATAAATAACTGATTACTTTATTTTAGTCCAAGTCCATCAGCTGATTATTGGTACTTTGAATGCGTATTTGAAAATGCAAACTAACAAAAATTCTATGAAAACAATGTCTATTGCCCTAAGTACTAATTTTTATTCTGAGCTGAGTGAAGGGTAAAATAATCATTGGTCTAACCTTCAGCATAAATGATTTCCTGTAGCGAAAGTGTACTATAAAATTGGCAATAACAGGATACTGAATAAATAGGAATTGCAATGGAAAATCCTTCATAACTGCACATCCGGCATGTTAATTATATCTCTTTTGTTTCTATGTGGAATTTAGTTGAATTGTTTGGGGGCATTTTAACAAAAAGTATAAATTGACAAAATTACAACTATTATTGATCTGAACACTCTGGAGGTTCTTCAAACCGTGTATTTCATTATGATTCTGCCAAAACTCCTCAACTTTTGATTTACATTAATCTCACTCTAACGTCCAGTTATAAAATCATGTTAAAACGCTGACTACTTACCAAGCATATGTTGGGTTTTTCCAATTGCCATAAATTGGATAAGATGACATCTGGATCGATAATGAACTTTTTTTTCCTAAGAAAATAAATGAAACTAGTATATTACCAACACAGTAGAAGAACCAGTTGTAACTAAACACAAGCTTTAGTTTAACAGGTCCCTCACATGTCTTACAATGAACTTTTAAGAGGTCAGAAGTCACATGACACCAGGTTATAGTCCAACATGTTTATTTGACATCACAAGCTTTCAGAGAGCTGTTCCTTCGTCAGGTGAAGTGAAGAGGCACAGAATTTATAGGCAGACAGAACAAAAGACCATACAAATGGTGTGAGTAGAGCATTGATAGGCTGAATAACAAGTCTCTGTGGGTAATCAAAAGTGTCAGATGGTGTGAGTAAAGTGTCAACAGCTGATTAGCAAGTGAAGGGATGGTTTTCTTCTATTCAATTACTTAATGCTCAAAAGCAAAGTATATCATTACTTCACTTGATCATATTTTTGACTCACCAACATTCTAAAGAGTTAAAATAATCTAACTAAATTTATAACCTAATGTGTCCTAGATGTTTATGAGGATTTAGTTTACCTTTTTGAACAATGGGATGGCATTCACTGGACGTTTTTTTAATTGGATTGATCCTGTTGCTCAGTTCAGATTCAATTCAGATTTTGGAGAGTGGTATCCAAGAATCAGATTTTTATTTTGAAAGGTAAATAATTAGACCAAGTTTTTGGTGGGTCTGTGACTCTGCCAAAGGATAAAACAACAACATCACAGCATAAAGTTTGGGAGCTGGCAAATAGCTAGACGATTCCTGGAATCTGAATTAAATGGTGTCGGTATAAATGTGGTTTTAACGTCAGATGAACAATTCTTTTCTTCTACTGTTGTCAATAGATATTTATCACTTTTAAAACCTGAATCTTGTTTCCTACCAATACATATTGGCCTTTGTTAATTCACACTTAGAAATAATATTTTATTGTTGTTTTACAAAAGAGGCATTTTTGCACTTAATGTAATGTCAAACCACAGAAGAAAATTAATCTATCTCCGTTTGATCTGTTTTCATGCAAGAAAATTGAGAGGTAACATGATATCAATGGGCCTAGATTTTCCAGTTAGTATCATTATGGCTGTGTAAGTAACCTATTTCAAATAACTATGTTAATACTTCCAATAAAATAGCACCTGTCGTAAAATCCAGACTTTCACTAAATACATGGAGCAAAATGTCTTCAGAGAATTTGGCGGCAAAATATATTAGACTACTAAATTTCACGCACAGTACAAATTAGTACAACATAACACTTCTCAGATACTGATCATAATTTGATTTCAACAAGTTTTTGACAACATCAGCTCCGTTCTTGATGTACACTTTTCATGTTTATGCTTTGCTTTCAGCACAAATTAACATCGAATATGCATGCCTGTGGGTTACTGATGTTACACAATGTGTCTGTATTTACTAATAAAAACAGCCGCTGCTTTAAAGGTAGTCTGAAGATCTTTGAGATGTTTAAATGATATAAAGTTCTATTTAAATGCATGCAATATAGTGCTTAATACACACATAAGAACTTCACAATATAAGACAGTCAAAAGTATGATTGTTTGTAGGAGATGTGTAATTCTTTTTGATTGCTTCATTAGTAAGGCAAGCATTTGTTGCCCATTCCTAGTTGGTCTTGTGAGGTGGCAATGAGTTACCTTCTTGAACTTCTGCAGTCCACACAGTAAAGTTACACTCACAATATTGTATGACTGCGAGTTCCAATATTTTGTTCCAGCAATATTGAACAAGTGGCAACAGACTTCCAAGTTATGTTGATGTGCAAATTGGAGCGAAACTTCGAATTTGGTGAAGTTTCCATGCACCTGCTATGCTTGTGATTGTAGGAAGAGTTTGGGAAACACTGTCGAGAAAGCCTTGGTAAGTTGCTGTGTTGTATCTTGTAGATAGTAGTCATTGTAGCCACTGTATGCCAGTGGTGATGGAGTGAATGTTTAAGTTGGTGAGAGGGGTGTAATCAATCTGAGGTAAAGGTTGAAGTCAAGTGGGGGAAAGTCTCCCTAGAAATCCTCCCTTAACCCAGGACCTGAAACCAGCCCCCACACACTAAGTGATACCCACCTCTTCACCCAGATGCTAAAACATGCTCACCCCTCCCCTACCCCCAACTCACGGCCCCAACATCTGACACACACTTCACTGTTAGTTCTGACAATACCCACTTTCCCCCTGACCCAACTTCCAACACTGTACTGAACCTGCCACCTCCTGCCCATCCAGCCTACCCTAAACACTCAACCACAAAACTGGCCCCTTTCCCACCTTGCACTCTGGCACCCTCCTTGTCTGGCACCCTATTCATTTGACATCCTACTCTTCCAGCACCCTAATTTCACACTTACCTTACATACTTTCACTTCCAAAGGAGCTGTGAAAGTGACTGTGATGCTATACAATTAATCACAGAATACAGCAACTGACTGCTATGAAAGACAGGGCATCTCCTGCCTTCCCCAAATGATCCTGCATTTGGAGGGACCAGTCAGTATTAAAGTATGCTCATGCATTTCTGAAGAATCCTTATTGGAATCTCCTGTCAGAAATACAGAGACTATTCTTAACACAAAAAAAATGAGCAGAGTGGCAATCTGTGTGTGATTGCCACTCCTTGGAAAATCTCATCCATTTTTAAAATTCCTTCACAGGGTGAGTGTCGCTGATGAAGCCAGCATTAATCGCACATCCCTTCTTGTTGATCTGAGTGGCTTGCTATGGCATTTCTGACAACAATTGAAAATCACCACATTGTTGTGAGTTCAGAGTCACATGCAGGTCAGACTGGGTCAGGATGGCAAATGTCCCTCCCTAAAGGTCAAAAGTGAGCCAGGTGGGTGTTTACATCAATGATATTTGACATGGTCACCATCACTGAGACTGGCTTTATGTTCCAAATTTATTAACTGAATTCAAATTCCACCAGCTGCCCTGGAGGGATTTGAACCCTTGACTCCAAATCCTTTGCCCAGGCCTTAGCAAGGACTTTGATCTGGGTCTGTCTGGTGCTAGCAAGGGGACTTTTCACTTTGGAAACAAAGCTATAATTATGTTATTTGCTTTTTAACTGATTTTGCTTTCAGAGAGAAACCTTAAATGGTGTACAAAGTGAAACCGTTCCATTCTTCTTCATTGAAATGCCTTTCCCCTCAACACAAAAACTAACCTTGTTCTTTCTCAGAAAGATGCATCTGCAAGAATCTGATTTTGGAACTTCTTCCTCATAGTATAACTTCAAAAAGATTTTTAAGTGAAATATATATACATTGACCACCTCTGACTGCTCATGAAAATCTTACAAGAACAAGTAATGACTAAAACCCATTTGTGATTTAGGAATATAATCTCAAACTGTTAACATTTCAGAATGTTTAACAAAAAACAATTCAAGGCATATCTCTTTTCAGAGATACGTTTGCTTACCTGATGCTACTCTTCTTCTAGTTAATTTCATTACAATCCAGATAATCAGAACCAAGATTATCACTCCAAATATGGATCCAACAACTGATGCTATTATTATAAATAATATATACAATAATCATGAATGATACTGCTCATTTATCAATTAACAAACAAAACTTACATTAGGAAAGATTATTCAAAAATAGCTTTAATAGTTTGTCATGTATACTCGAACTAAAATTTAAAACTTCATCTGAATATGTTCATAAAATAACAAAAAGTATTACTGATGTTCTCTGTTGTTGGGTAAAATCTTAATGTCTCTATTATACACTGATCTATTATTGGGCATGTGAATGTTATTATTGAAAGACCAAAGATGATGAGTGAGGGCCCAAAATTCATGAAGTTATTAAGATTCTAACTGTTTATGACAGAAGCTGATAAAGCAAAGCTCCCTTGATTATAGTTGTTTATGGGGTCCTTATGTCAATGCATGTGAGTGAGTTTTGAATGCACAAGACCACAGATTATATAAAGCTGCTGGGAATTCTGACAAAGAGGGAAACAGGAACAATTAGTTGGGAAGTCTGGAATCTGAAACTGCCATAGATCTGAATTTATAGTTGAATATTTCTTTTTTTCCCTGTTTTTCAGTTCCACAGTCTGGTACTGGTTCTTCAGTTTCTTTAAAAATTAATACATTCAAAATATGTTAAATTATACAAATATGCAAAGGTTTTATTATAGTTAGGTATAATAGACTGTTTATCTTGCAACTGATAGTTTGATTTATAAATGTTTTGCTTTAGAGGAGTCTTTTTTAAATAAAATGGCTTTAATTAATGCAACTTAAAACCTCCTGTTTGATCATTGAAGTCAAATAACATAGCTCTTGAATAACTTCCTGATCTAACTGCCTTAGCATTACTGAATACAAGGATTGCAAAGACAATCCTGATGTTTAGAATTGCTATGGTTTGAATGACAGGAAATGCATGGGAGAAAGTATCTCCATCATTATTCCAAAACCCATGAATACTCGCTCAAAAGCATATATGATGTTCACCAGTGGATGCTGAGAGCTTGTAAAAGGTTCTTTCCCAGATAACCTGCACCACACTTTAGAAACAATCAGAAAGTGGGCATAATCCTGGAGAAAATCTGGGCACAGACTTTAAATTCGAATCTAACTGACTATAACCAAAGTTTCCAGAGCAGCTAGATTTACTTTTTAAGACTACTCTAAGACTCAGACAATAATAATATCCAATAGTGTTCACTGCCAATAAGTAAAACTAAGCATCAGTTTGTGAATTATATTAAAAGGAAAATAAACCTCCAAAATATGTACAGTTGATAGCTTTACCTGAAATGTGTGTTATTATTCTTGAGCTATGGACTTCTGCATTTGACTGGTTTACCTCAAACGTCTTTACTTCGGATTCTAAAATATAGCAAGAATAACAGAAATGTTGTAGTTCAGTTCAGATTGAAATATCTTTATAATATAGTGAGAGAATATTAACTTAAATGGGGAAAGGAAAGAATAAACTGTTCAGTCTATCTTCACTCAGAAGTATTAGGTGAATCTTGTTGAGGCATCAGAGGTCTTTGCTTGCTGGCTGAAGAACTGACAAGAGACTTTTGCTGCTTCTTTTCAGGAAGGCTCACCAAAACATATACTTGTCTGGGCTATTATTAGATTACAAAGAGCAGAATGCTTTCATCAGCATATCATGCTTCAAGTGGTGCAAGTTAAGATGGAGTCTGAGACTTTTATACCCTCAGGTTATAAACTATGATACGGTGGTGATATCATGATACATTTCTTAAAAGTGTAAGATATACTAACAGTGGGACTATAGCCAAACTATGCTAACACAACACAGACAAACTAGAAGCAAGGGATGAGGATAGATTTCAGCAGGCCACCCTAGTCAACCTCTTGATGTCCAGTCTCTCAATCAAACACTGAATGCCTTTGATTAAGTGACACCCTGCCCTGACCACTCATTGGTGACAAGCAAGCCACATAGGTTTATTGCCATGCACATCATCTACAGTTGGGTTAATACGAGCAGCAATGGGATTAGACCTTTAAGTGATTGTTAATTGGGAGTGAGGCAGAAAGGGCTCTCCTGCCTAAAAGCTAATTCTAGCCCAGGCAGAAAGGCCACAGGGTTCAGATAGATACATGCCACTTGATTAAATGCTCTCCCTTCTCTAATCTCACTGCTAGAGAGAGAGCAAAATATTCAACCCAAGCTGTGAGCTAAAAAAAACAATCTAATTGAAGGCTATAAGTGTAGACTTTTACATCCTGTTATTTTTTGTTCAACCACAGACTGCGGTATTTTGTTTCTTTAAGATTGTTTTCCTGTCATCAGACAATGCTATGCCATCCCTTGCCTGTTATATTGTCGCATTGTGATCTAATAAACAAAAAATACTCACTATGCCTCTTCCTTAACCAAAGTTCATGAATTCAACATTTGTCGCACAGCCAGTTTCATAGAAAAGGGAACATGTGCTGTTTGAGAATTCAGCATCAGGGAATTCTGCTGCTATCTCTGTACAATAATTGTTTTTCTATCACTATGCAACAATTATGGACAGCAGAAGAGCTGTGCCCCCAGAATGGGTCCCGGGTCTTCAAAAAAACTGAAAAGTCTCAAGCTATGGCATTGATGTTCCACCACATGTATACATTGTCTGCTCTTTATTAAGGTGAATTATAAGTAATGATAATTCCGCATTTGTGTAACACTTGGAAGTTATTATATTTTGTATAAAATCTAAAATTGTTTATACCGTAATGAAATATTTATTGGCTGAAAACTGCCAAGATTCCCATAATTGTTAAGAAGAAAAACTTTTTCTTGGAAAAAAAAAGCAACTTTTCTATTGTTACAAGGCAACATAGGGTTGAAATTACTGAAGGTGATTGCATCTTTGGAGTTGACCATAAGACTTGAAATTCATGTTATCAAAGTCGATGGGAGAGATCTTTCCCAATCCTCAAAATCCAGTGTGAGGATCATGATTCATGATTAAACTAGGTTTGTTCATTACATTTCAGCCAACATGGCAAAGTTGTGCTGCTTGCTCTTTTAACGTGCAATTCTTATGCTCCCTGTGCCATGCACTGGCTGTGAAATGAGCTCTGATTGTGAGCAGCTAACAATATTAGAGGCAGCCTGTAACTCTGAAAAGGGTGATGCATTCTGGCTACAAGAATTGGTGGGAGTTATTTCAAATGTCAAGCTGCACTGGGCCACTTCAGGCAATTGCTGAATACTGGGGAGAGCAAATGCCAGGCTTTTCACCTAATCGGCTGGATTGGAGATGTGGAAAGGAAAGGTATCCTGCATATGTATTGGAGTTGAAGACCTCCAGAGATTTACACCACAGACAGTGGGAACACGTAATGGTGGGATTAATACCACGAGTATTGCTCCAGGAGAAAGAATAGATATAATTACCTGACGTGCTGTCAAGGAGAGTGAGTTCATTTGTCAAAATACATTTTGTGCAAACTGAGCCATTAACCTTTTTCATCATCCAATTAATTAAATCCCCATCAGCTGCCTATCAACAATTTCTTATAAATTAACGTTCAATATTTCAATCTCTATGTTTAATGTCAGTGTCATAGTCTTAACATGGTTGCAAGCCTCTTATGCACAACTTAGGTGTAATACATTGGCAGCTATTCCCCATGACAACAACATTACTTAAAAATGCAGGACACTTAATGACCTGCTTCTGTCTTGCTTGCATGAGAAACTGGAACAAAATGTCAGACAGAAGAATGTAATTGGAGGAGGGCAAATATGTCTGTCCATGGAAGATACAGAACTGGCCTTCATTGAATGGGGCACCATTGAAGCTGGCATTGAAGATAAAGAGAGGCTGGTGCTTAAACTTACACTCACAGCTACCAGTCCAGAGATTGGTATATTAGAGGTTCATAATTTAGAGGTTAAGATGATGGAGGCATCTGAGCATAAGAGTGCAAGAATCAGGAGTAGAGGAAATGATAATGTAAATCTAAGGGTACCGAAAAATGAAGTTGCTCACTAGCATTACTGCTGATGATGAAGACCTCAATAATCCAGAATACAGAAGAACGGTGTACATAGCTAAATGCTTGAGATATTGGAAATCCTGCCAGAATGATTGTACTTGCTGTAAAAGAGCATGATGGAGTCTAACAGTAATTTTGCATAAGACTTTGCACTAAGTTTTGAGGTCTACCTTTTCTGGATGAAATCTAACCATCAGCACATAAGGAAACAACGATGATCAAGTGTATCACAGTTCATTTTGCAGCTTCTACTGTAACATAGACAACGTCTTTCAAAAATTTAACTTCTGTAAGTGGAGCTCAAAATGTTACAATCATGGCCCTGGAAGCCACTGTTCAAAGGTAGAATAGCAATATCTCACTCCATAATTAGTGAGATAAGAACATAACAAATAGGAGCGGGACTAGGCCATTCACCACCTCAAACCAAATCTGCCATTCAACGTGATAATGGCTCGTCTTCCACTTCAACACTGTTTTTCTCTGCTACCCTATATCCCTCAATGTTTTTCATATGTAGAAACTATACTGTCTCAGTCTGGAAGATACTCAGTGACTCACCCTCCAATCAGCAGAGAATTCCAAAGACTGAAGAAATTCCTTCACATCACAGTCCTAAATGGCATGTCCCTTATTCTGAAACTGTTCTAGAACTTCTCAGCTAGTGGACCATGCTTCATGCACATAACTTGTCAATCCCTGTATGAATTTTGCATGTTTGAATGAAATCACCCATCAGTCTTCATCACAGAATAATCCCTCCATCTCGGGAATTAGTCATACTCCCTCTATGGCAAGTGTACCTTTCATTAGAGTAAGAAAATCAAAACTACAGACAGAATATTTAAGTGTTGTCTCACCAAGGTATAATTGCAATAAGATGTCTTATACTGAAATTCTCTTGTAATAAAGGCAAATATTATATTGGCCCTCTTAATTATTTGCTGTATCTGTGTATTAACTTTCTGTAATTTATAAAGAAGGACACCCAAGTCCCTTTGAAGTTCAATACGTTCCAGCCTCTAACCATTTAAAAAATACTCTGTTTTCCTGTCTTTACAAAGTGGTTAACCTCACATTCCTTCACATTGTATCTGTCTGCCAATAATTTCCCACTCAGTCTCTCCAAATCCTTTTGAAGCATCTTTGGGTCTTTCTCACACTCACACTCCCACCTAGTTTTGTGTCATGTAAAAAACTTGACAATATTACATTTAATTCCCACATCCAAATCTTTAAGTTAGTTTGTGACTAGCTGAGGCCTAAATGCTCAACTTTGCAACATCTCATTACTCACAAACTGCCAACCTAGAAATGACTCATTTATTACTATATTTTATTTTCATTTGTTAACCAGTTTTCAATCCATGCCAGTATATGCCCCCAAACCCATGTGTTGTAATTTAGATGAACAACTTCTTGTGTGGAATCTTATCAAAAGTGACCTAAAACTGTAAAGAAATTTAAGTTTAACGTTATAAATTTTAAGTTTCCACTTATCCATTTTACTAGTTATACACTCAAAAATCTCCAACACGTTTGTCAAACTTAATTTCTCTTTCAGAAAACCATGTTGACTTTATACTCCTACCATTATTTTCTAAGTATCCTGCTATTGCATCCTTTATTATAGATGCTAGCATTTTCCTGAGACATAGTGGATTACATTTGTCATCTTCCAATCTGCAAGGACCATCCCAATGCCTACATAATTTTGAAAGATGATACTGTTGCATCTACTATGGAATGTAAATCATCATATCCTGGAGATTTATTCATTTTCAGTCCCATTAATTTTCCTGATACTTTTTAAAAGAAAAATATTAATATAGAGTCATAGAGGATGGAAACAGACCCTTCAGTTCAACTCGTCCATGCTGACCAAATTCCCAAACTAAACTAGTCCCACTTGCCTGCGTTTGGCCCACACTCCTCCAAACCTTTCTTATTCATGTACTTATCCAAATGTCTTTTAAATATTGTAACTATACCTGCATGCATCACTTCCTCTGACAGTTCATTCCACACATGAACCACTCTGTGTAAAAAAGTTGCCCCTCTTATCCTTCTAAAAATTTTCTCCTTTCACCTTAAAAATATGCCCCCTAGTTTTGCATTTCCCCCACCCTAGTGTAAAGACCTTTGCTATTCACCTTATCTATGCCCCTCATGATTTTCTAAACCTCTATAAGATCACCCATCAACCTCCCATGCTCCAGTGAAAAAAAGTCCCAGCTTATCTGGCCTAATTTTATAACTCAAATTCTCCATTCCTGGTAACATCCTGCTAAATCTTTTCTAAACCTTTCCAACTTAATAATATCCATCCTATAGCAGGGCGACTAGAACTGCACTCC